CAGAGTCTAACACTGAGCGCAAATCTGGATTCCAAATGTCTTCTACACTAAGCCAGAGTCTGAGCTGAAACCCGGAGGGTCGGGGTTGGGGAGGGAGGCTCCCACACTCCCCAGGGAGGCAGCTGGGGATGGGGAGACCTGGGCTTTCTTCCAAGGTGGGAGTTCTGCCCTCCCTCGGGGGAGCAACGCCGGAACTTCCAGAGAAGAGCAGGAATTTCTGAAATCCGGGCCCGGCCGAGCGGTAATAGGCACCTTCGCGCCGCCAGCGGAACCGCCCGGCCCTAAATCACGGCCGCCTCCCCTCCTCCCGCCGGCCGGCGCGGGCAGCGCTGCTCCCGGGCATAGGCGGTTCCAGCCGCGGCGCGCACCGGCCGTGCAGGTGCCGCGGAAATGCCTGCCCCGCTGGCCGCTTTGAAGTCGCGCTCGCGCCGCAGCGTCCTACCGGGCGCGGGCGACCCGCCTGCGTCCCCTCCGCGCTTCCAGCCCCCAGTGGGCAGAGGCCTGGGGCGGAGGCGCTTCCCGGGAGCCCGGCCGCCTGTCAAGAGAGTGTGGCCTCAGAATTATGGATTGGAGCCCTGGGTCCTTGATCTGTGCAGGGGAAAGGGATGGGAAGGTGACCTGTGCCCAGCACGGGGACAATGGTGCGGTTCCACATTTTCCTTGCTTTTATGGACGCTTTAAGGGTTCGTGTTAGGGACCAGAGAAGTTTGTCCAACTCACTATTTTTTTCTTACTGTTCCCTTTGAGCCCCATAGATGTCTATTGCAATGGATTTTCCCTCCATGCGATGCAGGAATGGGGATGTTCCAAAGTTAATGAGCAAGAATGAAATTGTGTAATCAAAATTATCCTTAAATAGGACTTAAATTACAGTACACAACAGCATTATATATTTAACCCTGAACAATGTTTTTACACAAGTTAACACTTAATAACTACTGAAATAGATTCTAAAGAGGGAAATGAATACACACACATACACACACACACACACACACACACACACATTTCCTTTCTATGCATTCAAACTGCTTTGCTGTGGAGGCAGTTTTGAATTCAGTAGCTCTTGGATGGGGTGCAAGGTTTTGCTTGATGCTGTAACCACTACAACCATAATTTGGGGACCATAGCTTTAAGGCAACTATCATGGGAGAATCTAAAAACACTTTTACATGGATGCAGTTTCCTCCCTCCTGTTTTAATATTGAGCTTCATAAAGTTACCTTGAGTTAATACATTGGTTTGTGGTCATCTGCATACAGGTCTAGTGCGTAGTAGGTGTTTAATAAGTGCTTGATCAGACTTAGATGGGATTTCCAGTTTCATGATTATCTTCATATCAGGGATTGTACCATTTATTGAACAGTCAGCAAATATTTCCCCACACCTCCTGCATACCAGGCACAGTGCTAGGAAATTAGAGGTGACCTAGAGGTGGCCCCAGCAACAGCACAGAAGTGCAGTACAATATGCAGCTAAATTCTAGACAGGATTGGGAACCCTGTGGGAGAGGCTCAGGGCTGACTTTACCGAGGAGGAAAGGGCAACAAGCAATTGAGGCTGGTGACTCACTGAAGGCACCTGAACTCGGTCCAGAACTCTGGCAGGCAAAGAGCCCTGAAGACTTCCCTGCAGATGCAGTCAGGGAGCCTCGGGCTGATTCTGTGTCCTCGGGCTGATCCTGTGTCCTTGGGCTTTACCTGGCTGACTGGGCCCTGACTCACCTGCTGGAGGGGTCAGGGGTAGGCACGGGCTGTTCACTTCTGTTCTCTGGTGCTTTCTCTGGGATCCCAGGGGCCATCAGTTCTGCCTGCATGGCTCAAAAGGAGTTAAGGAAATCTCAGGCAGCAAATCTCAATCGCAGCAGGCAGGCATTTGGACCCTCTGGACTTCTGCCTTCCAGTTCACGTTCTCTTCTGTTTGTTTCTGCCCATTGCCCCCTGTCTTTCCAAATTTCCTCTATATTAGTCAAACCCTTTTAAAATTTTCATTCTCAGTTGAAACTACTTAAATCTCTTAAAATTCCTATTTCAAAGGACAGATGCAAAGTCTCTAAAAATGATAGGAGGTGGGGGGGATTGGGGTGTTGGTGGGTACTCCCTGAGCTGAACATGGAGGCCAAGCCCAGACGGGTTAAGAACCTGGTCTTGGAATAGGAAACACACCACAGCTCACCCTCTGACTTGGGTCAAGGTCCTTAAGTCTGTTTCCATCTGCATCATAATAATGAACTTTCCATATGGGACTCTTGTGAAGCTAAGATAATATATGTTTAAAAAGCACTTAGTACAATGCCTAGTCTATGAGAAGCACTCTATTGAATTCAGTACCATTATTATTAAGATTATTATTGCTATGGTTAATTATCACCAAGCAGCATCCTATCCATAGTGGTATGTGAGTTCTAGGATACTGAGTCACTGGAGGAAAAAAGGTGCTAGATGTAGTCTAAGCTTGTTTGTCACCCACTGGTACCCTCCCCTCAGCTCCTGGGCTGCCCCAGGAAGGTTCTTCTCCCTTGAGGCTGCCCTGGAGATCAATGGGCCACCTCCATCCTTCTGTGAAGATGGGGGTTGCTCATGGCTCATCCATCTACTTTTTGGGGCCTACAAGGCTCTTGATTGTAGGTCAAGGTCTCATAAGTATCCAGGTGAGTTTAAATCCACAGCTTGAGCTTAGTACCTACCCTCAGGATCAGCTGTATGGGCATGGGATTGGTGCAGTGATTTAGAGGCACTCTAGGTTTGATTTAGTGCTGTGCTGTCTCCATCTTCAAATTCTTAGTACTTTGGAACAAGGGGCTCCAAATTTTACTTTGCTCTGGACCCAACAAATCACTTAGCTGGTCCTGCCTACACCTTCATAGAGAAGATATCTTCCATGCAAAGGAAAGTGAGGTGCAGAATCAGGGACATGAATGGCACAGGTCACATGTGAAGAGCTGTTGGCTTGCAGAGGGTGGGAGGAAGAGATCTCCCACCTCAGGCTTCCTTTCCCACCTGGAAGGTCAAGATCCTCTGCCCTCTGCTGATAACAGGGGCTTTTCTGAGGGTTTGGACAAGGCCCTGAGTTCCACAGTGTCTGGGTGAACAGGGCAGTGATTCAGCTCTTTCTAGGGTGGCTTCTAAGGGCTAAAGGATATGGATGAGGGTGAGAGGAGAGGTGGCCATGGAATGTGACAGTAAGGAATCAGATGCCTGGGCTTTGGCCCATGCCCTGCTTCCTACTCTGAGACATACCAAGGCTGACATTCTGCTACTTGAGCTGGATGGGTGGGCATGGGTGCTAAGACACTTGTGGCCCAAGAACTGCATAAAATTCTGCATGAGGAATACAGGTGTATGTATGTTGTGGGGGAGGCTTGAATTAAGAAGAGAAAACCTCTGGTTTTAATGAATTTATTTATTTATTTAATTTGTTTAATTGGTACTGGGTATTGAACCCAGGGACACTTAACCACTAGGCCACATCCCCAGCCCTTTTTTTGTATTTTATTTAGAGACAGGGTCTTGCTTAGAGCCTCACTAAATTTCTGAGGCTGGCTTTGAACTCTGGATCCTTTTGCCTCAGCCCCCTGATCTAGCTAACTATTTTCCCCCCACAATTCCTTTTATTTCATGGGTTTATTTTTCATGTGGTGCTGAGGATGGAATCCAGTGGCTCACACATGCCAGGCAAGTGCTCTACTGCTCAGCCACAACTCCAGCCCTCTAGCTGACTTAATTCCACATAATACTGCTCTTTTGGAAAGAACAAAAGCCAGGAAGTACAAAAAGTCCTTAGGCTACTTCTAGTCTAGTGAACAAGACTGACAATCACACAAGTAAATATATATGGTTTGTTTCCTAGTGCCCTGCACTTTCCCTCTGTGGAGAAATTCAGTTGAAACGATGGGATTGTTGCTGCTGATGTTCTCTGGCACGAATGCAAACTGCATTCTCATCCCCGCTGATGCCACAACAGGCCTTGGCATTCAGGTTATGGCTGGGAATGAGATTTACCTTAAGGAACTCCAAATAACTCCCTATGGATGCCTGAAATTCCACTGGGAGTCTTTCTCTAGGATTAAGCATTTTTCTTTTCTGAGACCCTGTTTAAAATTCAAATCCCTGGTGGTAATAGCAGGAAAGATTTGGTGAGTCCTTAACAGGATAGTACTGTGTCATGAGTAGAACTGTCCCAGGGCCCTGGGCTTCAAAGGATGCCCCTGATTGGTACTACCAGGAGAGCTAGAGGAAAAAGAAGATCTTCACCATCTTCTCTGCTGATTCAGCCCCACTCTTTCTGAAGGAAAGGAAGTCAAAAGGAAGTAGGAGGAGAGTTGAGCCCAATCAAAACCCCAACTCAAAATCCTGACCAACTTCAGCTGGTAGCTGAAAAAGCCTGAAGCTCTACTCAGCTTAGGAAGGGGGACTTAGGACTGTGTCAACTCTGCCCCTTCCTTATTGATCCTCTGGGTTGGTCACGCTTTTCCTCAATGACAGCTCTGTAGTTGCCCATGAGACTTGACAAGAACTTTCAAGATTCTAAAGAACATTCAATCCACCATTGCCACCCTTCTATGGTCTATCAATTCTCCTGCCCAGAATCCACATTGGGGCACTCTATCTGGGGTCAGCGGAAAGAATGTGGATCCCAGTCAACCTAGAGAGACCCCTGGAGTGAGGCACAGCAAGTTCCTGGTGGCGATTGGAGTTCTGCCCCGGGCATGGCCTGGCTTCCCAGCTGGTCCCCGTGTGTGTACAAGAATCTGCATGCTTCCTTCCTTGCTTGCTTCCTTCTCAGTTCCTCCCTCGCCAACCTACCTGGGGGCAGGTAATAAAGCAGGAGGAGGGAGATGGATGGATGGGGAGGGCGGGGAGCCACGTGGTGCCATAAAGCCCAGGTAGAGAGGGCCGTTCAGGGAGTGTCCAGACCACAGGAGCCAACGCTCAGAGGGTGGACTGTCAGCCTCACCCTCACCTTCCCAGCGCCGAAGCAGCGGGGCCTGGGAAGAGGCCATGCTCCGAGGCTCGCCCGGGCTAGGCCTCAGGGGCCTGAAAGGAGCCGAGGGCTCTGCAGAGGACTTGGGAGGCTCTTGCCCTGAGCCTGGGAGGAACTTTGGGGTGCTGAGGGAAAACGGCGCCCCCCGGAGCCAGGGAGAGGCCGGGGAGGCTGCGGGCGGAAAGCGGGCCAGGCCGGTGCGGTCCAAGGCGCGGCGCATGGCCGCCAACGTGCGGGAGCGCAAGCGCATCCTGGACTACAACGAGGCCTTTAACGCGCTGCGGCGGGCGCTGCGGCACGACCTGGGCGGCAAGAGGCTCTCCAAGATCGCCACGCTGCGCAGGGCCATCCACCGCATCACTGCGCTCTCCCTCGTCTTGCGTGCCAGCCCCCCTCCCCGCTGGCCCTGCGGCCACTTGGAGTGTCACAGCCAGATGGCGCGCGCAGGAGGCACTGGGGACGCCCGCTCCAGCCCCGCACGGCCCGCGCCGCAACCCGCAGGGCCTAACCTCGGGCGCCGGGACGCCACAGGCCCCTTCCTGCAGCCGGCGCCGCGCTGCGCCTCTTGCTCGCCACACACGTATATGGGACGGCCCAGGGCGGTGGCCGACGTCCCAGGCTGGGGCCAAGCCTACGGAGGAAACTGGCGCCGATGTCCCGGGTCTCCCTCTGCTGGGCCCCTTCCCTGGTGCCGAGGCTACCTGCGAACAGGCACCGGGTTGGGCTACCAGCACTCCTGAGCCGGACACCGAGGAAAGCTGGGCTGGCAGGATGACTATAAAAGGGAAGACGGCAAAAAATATTGTCCTGGACGGAGCAAAACGGAATGAGCTGAGACCCGTGGAGGAAAGGAGGCTGCTTGGCAGCAGGAAGGAACTCTGGGGGCTGGGGCGTCACCTCCACATCCCAGCCCCGGGTAGCGGCTCTGCGAAAGAAGCAGGATCCTGCTTGGCTTTTAGGTTTGGACTTGTTGAACTCTTCTTGGAAAGTGGCCTTTGCATTCCTGTGCCTCTGAGCCGTTTTCTCTCGCTGCTTTTGGACAGGGGGACTTGTGTGGGAGTATGGGTGGCCACCTGTTTGGGTCTGATGGCACAGTGTCAGGACTCTTCCCCCTGTGGCTGTCTCAGGTCTGATCTGAGAGAGGCAGACAGAAGCAGCCAAATAAAAAGGAAAATTGTCATTTCTGTCTGCTGTCACGACTCCACTGGCTCAATGGGCTAGGATGACAGGAAAGCCTGAGGGATTGGGGGTTACTGAGAAATTTTGGGGCCAGGGACTAAGTCCCACAGATAGACCTCAGCAATGGCTGAACACAGTGAGGAGTCCAAGGGGAAGGGAGCCATCCAGAGAGGACATTCCTCCTGTGCCACTGGAGGGAATTATCTGGAGAAAGTTAATGGGGAGGTTAAAGATATGATCAGTCTCATCTGTGGACCTCCCTGCAGAACTACCATCTGCAGGGAGCCACAGCAGGGGCTACCATGACGCGAGAGTCTGGCCATTCACAGGGAAGGAAGCTGAGGGCAGGACCAAGGATTGGGGGCCAGGAAGTCCTGCTTATACTCGGAGTGGCAGGTAGAGCTCTCAGGGAATAGTGGGTCAGCACCTCTGTGATGAGGGGTAGGCTTGGAATCCAGGAAAGATTATGGGGAAAGGGTTAGGGAGCCCTTAGGCCAAGGATGCAGAGAGAGTGGGAGGCACAGGAATGTCCCCTCCTGGAAAATTCTGGAAAACTTTGCTATATCTAAGATAGGCTCATGCCTAGCCCAATCAGACCGACAGGGATGATTTTGCAGGTGGTACTTGCAGGGCTAAGGGTCCAATGTGCCAGGGGAGGGCTGAGGACTTTCTGGTCCCTTTGGAGAACTGGGCTCTTGCTGTCTGAGGGGAAGGGTTAAATATAGCCATCTCAAAATGGGGAACCCCACAGAAGCTTGGGAGATGCCCATGGGCACAGACCCAAGGGAGCGTGAGGTTCCTCAGAACAGTTAAGGTGAGGCTCGCTGCTATAATTAAAAATGTCTTTGCTTTGTGCAAGCCTCAACACTGCTGGCACACTTGGCATCCTATCCCTAGCCACAGGCTTAGGGCTCCTGATTTCACAGTCAGGGATATGGCACAGACCACAGGAAAGCTTTAACCCTGAGTCTAACCAGGAGCCAAGTGTGGGACCTGGGCGCCAATCCTGACCACTGAGCCTGACAGTGACAGACAGTGGAAAGGAAAGAGCTAGACCTGCCTGGGATCTAGTTCTGCTCTGCCATGTCCTTGGCCTCTAGTTTCTCACCTGTGACATCGATAATGATGCCACCTCAGGGTGGCTGTAAGGTGAACATGCTTCATAATGTACAGTTTGGGGCAATTAGAAGGAGTTCACAAAGTGTTACTGTTTGTTTCCTATTATAATCTTATGATGAATCAGCCTGGACAGTGCTTTAGCCTTCTTTTGGCCTTAGGGATTTATTCTCTGGAAACATGATAAAATCACCAGCAAATCCTGCTTTCCTAAATTCCAGGGTTAAAAGAGGGTTCTTTTCCCACACCCAGCAGCCCTCTCTGCCCAGGAATGGTGAGGGTGCCCCCTGCAGGTGAAATAAAAATGTGGCGAGTGAGGGAGTTCATCAGAGGGGCGTGACCACTTGCCTCTCATAGTTTATCAGCTGCATGACCTTGTGTAAATAAATCACCCAACTGATTTCAGTTTGGGGGTTCCCATTTGTATAGTGGACTAAAATAAGTACTTACATCCTAGGCTGTATGGACTAAATGAGACAATGCATTTAAAGCGTGTAGCATAGGGTTCAGCCCACATAATCATTCACTATAATAGTAATTAGAGCATTTTTAGCAGCTTTACAGTTCACTAGGCCTCATATACTCAGTCTCTTTGGCTCTTTTTAGAAGTATGTGCCTTCTTACACCTACACTTTTACACCGGCGGCCTTTGTCACAAGGAACCGGTGCCTGTCATGGTGCTAGCAATGAATGAGACGGAATAGCAAAAACATAGAAATATAAAACCCAGTGTTGTCAGGGACATGGAGAAAGGGGCACATTTTACAGATTTCTCGCTGTACTGTATATTTGTTCCTTTTTTGTAAATATGGAAAGATCATGATAAAAATACATTAAGGAAGCAATCCAAAAGGAGTTTTTCCCCTTAATTTGCAAAAAAAAGCCATCACAGCAGTCTGGTTCATTATAGTGCAAGGTTTTAAAAAACACATATGCCCAACCATAAAGGCAAACTCTGCTACTTTAACAGAATGAACATAATAGTGAGTTAAAAGGGCAGATCACAAAATGGTCCATGCCCACTAATTATCATGCAGGCAAACATGTAGGTGCCTGCACAGATGGGGAGAGGATTTGGAGAGATAAACATGGTTTTTAATTTTCACTAGATTCTTCTTAACTTTTTTATGATTATTAGAAGATTTATTAAGCAAGAATAATATATTAATCATCATTGCCAGACTTAATAGGAGATATTAAATTTTAGGTCCAATTTTCCTACCTGGATAAGTTTTTCCTTCCTATCCCTATCAGTTTTGAAAACATAATACCAGAAGAAGAGGGGTCCAATTCCAAACAGAGCTCCTAAGAGTGAGTTCTTGGGAGTGGGTCTGAAATTTGGGTAGATATTTGCTGATCTTGCGTAGGTCCAGCGAATTAAGGCAGGATCTTCGATGAGCCCTTGGCAGTTGGGGTCATTGTACTGAAGCAGATAGTCCCATTTAAGCCGGGCTCTTATGGCCTACCTCTCGGCTTGTGCCTTCCAGGTTTCCGGAGATATGTCTTATCGGGGTCGAGGGTCGGGGTAGAGTGGCCTGACATGAGGGCTTATACTTTGGAAACGACATCTTAGCGCCCTGGCGCAACTGAGCCTGCCCTTCTTAACTATTTTTTGAAAATGAAAGATCTGCTGGGTGCAGTGGCACATGCTTGTAATCCCAGTGGCTCAGAAGGCTCAGGCAGGAGGATCATGAGTTCAAAGCCAGCCTCAGCAAAGTTGAGGTCCTAAGCAACTTGGTGAGACCCTCTCTCTCTAAATAAAATACAAAATAGGGCTGGGATGTGGTTCAGTGGTCAAGTGCCCCTGAGTTCAATTCTCGGTAGCCCCTCCCCAAAGTGAAAGATCTGTCCCCTTAGGATAACCCCAGAAAGAAGTAGGTTCATATTTTGTGCAAGGATGTCAAGAATAATGTATCCCCAGTGGGCTCCTTTGGAAGGACTCACTTCACTAGATGTGAAATTTTGGGGTTCTTACTGATGGAAGCTTCATCAGATTAAGTTTTCCTTGCCTTTCATGAATGTGCACATACATGTGTGACCACAGATGTCAGGAGACTTTTGTTGCCTCTAAAGAAGGGGTGACTGGGCCCCAGAAGGCTTCAGTGAGACAAGATATTGGCTCAATGATGCCTACCCTGTCAGTTCTATAGGGCTTCCAGACACCCAATCAGATGCCCAGAGTAAAAAGGGCTGCAGAACAGATAAGAGGAGGCTTTATTTCCTCTTCACCTTGAATTAGGCTGGACCTAACTTGAAACTTCTGAGGTTTCTTTCCTGTTCACCCCACCACCCAAAGCACCCCTAGTATGCAGGCCCACTTCCCCCTCCTCTGTTTGTATCCCTAACCTCTCTCAGCATCTGTCACACTTAGAGCACACAGGATGGGGGTGGGCAGAGGTGGGATCAGTGTCACTGGGGACACACTCTAGGCGCTTGGTTAACGTTTCCTGCTTCCTCCAATTCATCCGGTTGGCCTTGATTGTGAGCCAGGCCCTGGTTGAGGGAGCTGGGGTCACCACTGCCTCCTTCAGGCGCCTAACACCGAGTTGGGAATGGGGAAAGAGAGAGGAATTCCTTCCTTTTGTTCCCTGTGTCCACCCCAGAGATCAGTGAGGCCAGCCAGCTGTGAAACAGCAAGAGGCTGACCCAAATGTCTAGCTGGCCCAGGGCTCGTCACTCAGATTCCCAGGCAGGCAGGGAACATGGAGTTGACCAAGGAGTTCAAAGCCCTTCTAAAGGCTGCAGCTGGCCCGGTTTCTGTAGGAAATTTTCCCAGAGTTCCAAGATTTTATGTTAAAAGTCTGAAACTCTAGCCAGGTGTGGTGGTGCACACCTGTAATCCTGGTGGTTTGGGAGACTGAGGCAGGAGTATCACAAAGTTCCAGGCCGGCTTTGGCAACTTAGACCCTGTCTCAAAATAATAAAAAGTAAAGTAAAAATAAATAAATATGGCTTAGTGGTAGAACCCCCTGGGTTTAATCTCTAGTACCATAAATAAATAAATGAATTTATTTTTTTGAAAGTCTGAAACCCCAATTTTTATGTGGAATGAAGTTTTAAAAAACACTGGTTAAGTCAAAACTTGTGCAGATCAAACCTACTTTGTAGGATTAATATAGTCCATGGGTTTCCATGAACCATTTAGATGGGAACCTACCTGGTTTAACTGCTGGCAGGGTTGGGCTCCAACTCCGGTTATTCCCCTCATCACACAGCCCACTAGGTGGCGCTGCAAGCCAGCATCTTGCACGGGCAGAGCAAGCCTGGTCTTCTAGTGCCCTGACTAAGAAGGAAACGGTAACCAACTCATTCAGGCAACCTTGCTGCCACCAACTAATCTGGATTTGTTTTTTTTTCCTTTGCTTACAGAATTTAAAAGGTTTATTTATGTCTGTTTTTTCTGTCTTCTAGGCTAGACACTGCGTAATAAAAATATATAATGTAAGACACATTTTAATTTTAAATTTTCTACAAGGCACAGTAAATTTTTTTAAAAAGGTAAGAAGACATAGGTGACATTAATTTTAGTAACATTTTACTTAGCCTAATATATCCAGATATTATTATTTCCACATGCAATCAATATAAAAATATGAATGAAATAATTTACATTCTTTTTTCTCTGTTGTCTTCAAAATCACATCTCAATTTGTCTAGTCATATTTCAAGTGCTCAGTAGCCTCATGTAGCCAGAGGCTACTGAATTAAGTTGGGCAGATGGAGGTCCTGCAGAGGACCTGAGTCCCTCTACCCAACAGCCAGCTCCTGGATTGTAACATGAAATTCTGTGTACCTGGATACTGATGGGGACCAGCAATCTCAGGGGCCCAACTTGCTACACTTGGAAGGAGATTTCACAACTGAAAGGCATTGACATATCTGTGGAAACCCTTGGGCAGAGGAACCCAGTTCACTCCTCTGGCTGGGCTACTGGCCTGGGGGTTAAGGGGCTTCCTGAGGTCTGTGATGTAGACACTCCTCCCCTGAGGGGGGCATTTTGCAAATAACAATGCATTTACCTTATTGTGCAAAAATTCTTAATTTAATACAGTTGGATTTATTAAACCTAAAAATTTTACCCTATAACCACAAATATTTTTTCCAAATTTATTATTTTCTAGGGGTCCTTTCAGTTCCCTAGAGCTCGTCTTAGGTCAGCCCTGCATATGGCTCTTCTCCAGGGCTCTCCTTTCTTCCCTCTGGCCGGTTCTCTGTGTGTACATACTTCCCTCCACCTGTCTGACCCAGCCTTTACTGGAAGCAACATTTTTTGTTTTTTGTTTTTGTACTGGAATTGAATCTAGGGCCTCTTAACCTCCACATCACATCCCCAGCCCCTTTTCATATTTTATTTAGAGACAATGTCTCCCTGAGTTCTTAGGGCCTTGCTAAGTTGCTGAGGCTGCCTTTGAACTAGCCATCCTCCTGCCTCAGTCTCCAGATCCACTGGGATTACAGATGTGCACCACCACACCTGGCTGGAAGCAGCATTTCTGAAACCAGCTTGATATGCAACCCAAAGCCATTTTTTTCCCACTAACATAGTTGGTTTTGTTCCTAGTTTGCCTCATGAACTAGACCAAGGATTGATATCTAACTGAGATACAGTTTGAGATGAGCATCTCTTCCCATGTCTGGGCCTCAGTTTCCAAACTGCAGTACCAACAGATTTGAACTCCACAGTTTCTGAGGCCCTTCCAGCATCATTTCCCATATCATGCATAACCCTAGGATTTTAGATGATTTCATCACCCCCTTCAAACTCTACCCCTGACACACCTCTACCTCTAGTGGCTCCAGATCATCAAAGTAAGGAGAGAGGTCAGGGATTTAGAAAGGAAAAGATACAGAGAATAAAGGAGGCAGAAACAGAGGGAGGGAACATAAAAGAGAACAAAGATGAGAGAGAATCTGGAAAGGCAGCCACAACCAGAGCTGGCATCCGCCTGAGCAGCTGCTGAGCAGCAGGGTCTCTGCCTGCTGCTCTTCACCACCATGGAAAAGTCCTGATGGGCATGAGATGAAGCTACTGTCCCCCCCCCGCCCCCCGCCCAACCTCTGCTCCAAGCCTTGGTGAGCTGCTTAAAAACCCAGTTAGTGGGTCCTCCGGGGACCACCCTGCTGCTCACATCTCCTTTTCCCTCTTGGAGCGAGGAAGAAGACTTTGGCCTAGAGGTCTCTAAGGGCTGAGGGTCAAGGTCTGGGTGGGATGTGGTAGACCCAGGGCCTAGCATTTCCTACCAGATAGGAGGAAGCACGAGCCTGCTGGGTAGAGAGGCAGGAGGCTCAGTGCCCAGGACGGCTGAAGACATGTCTTTGTGACCCACCTTTGTTTTCCCCATCCAGAGCCCCTGGCCCAGAGGAGCAGGTCCTGGGGTTGCAATGGAAACCAGAAGCCAGCCCAAGTCCCGCTGGGCTGGGCTGGGCTGGGCTGAGGCAGAGGCGGGATGCTGCCGGGTAGCTCTCTGGGGAGAGGGGAATTGAAAAGGAAAGGCATCTCCAAGGAGGGTGGAGAGGGAGGGAGGCTGAATGGGCGCACACACGCGCACGCACACACACACACACACCACACACACACACAGCCTCCCTGCCTCAGCCTAAGCCTCACTCCAGAGAGGAAGGAGCATTCTTCTCTTTCTTCTGCTTCCCCGCCCATCTGTGCTGTCAGCAAAGTTGGCCTCAAACTTGAGCAGAGCCGAAGGCTGCAGCTCCCTGGGAGCTCTGCAGGGGTGGCGCAGGCCCTGGCCTCTGAACTCAGCTGGCTCCTTCTCACCCTCCCAGCACCCAGTTGGCCCTTGGGTCCCTGGGCCACCCTTCTATCCCTGCGCTGGAGGCTCCCACTCTGGGCTGGGGAATGGTGCGCTGAGGTTCCTCTGAAGCCCCTTGTCCAGGCCCTGGAGCTGAAGCAGCCCAAAGCCCAGGCCAACATGGCTAACCCAGGGCAACCTCAGTTTCCCCGGGTGCAGGAGACGGGTTCCACCTCACCTTTGGAACTGCCCGAGATGGAGAAGCTCCTCACCAAGGTAGAGGGCAAGGATGACAAAGCCCTGAATCTGTCCAAGTCCTTCTCGGAGGCTCTGGACTTGGAGAAGAACGGCCACAGCCTGCCCTTCAAGGTGATCTCCGAGGGGCACCGGGAGGCCTCCCTCCCTGGCTCCCTTTCCCGGGCCAGCTCAAGGCGGGCATCCTCTGTCGCCACCACCTCCTTCGCCCAGGACCAAGAAGCCCCCAAAGATTACCTCATCCTTGCCATCGCCTCTTGCTTCTGCCCTGTCTGGCCCCTCAACCTCATCCCCCTCATCTTTTCTATTATGGTAAGTGCTGCTGTTTGTTCAGGGGCAGGGGCTGGACCTTGGGGTTAGCAGGCATGTCCCCAGGCAGGCACCAGACATGCCTGGTGGGATGCCGAGGAAAGAGCCCCAGGGGCTGGGGTCTTGTGGGAAGACGTCTGCTGGCTCAGCTTCCTACTTCCAGAGAGGCCAGGGGCTGAGAGCTCTTCTTCCATCCTTGCTCCTGGCATTACGGCTTGATTTTGCCCCATTCCTGCCAGGGAAGGGGACTCAGGGAGCTGCCTAGAGCTGAATTCTGTAGGGCAGAGAGTCAGCCAAGTCAGGGGTCTTGCTTATATGGAGGGGGTGGTTGCCCCAAGGAGCCATTCCTGAGCAGCCAGAAGGGGGTCTCAGCCCACCCCCCTCCATGTCCAGGAGAGGAGCCAGGCATCCGGGCCACCTGGGCATTCTACCAGCCTCTGCCAACTCTGGTTTCTAAGAGCTGGTAGTGACTTACGTGCCTGCACTGAGGGCCCCAGGGATTCCCCCAACCCCACCCCAGGGGCACACAAGGAGGGACGAGATGGCTGCCTGCCCTTGGAGCCTTGTGGGCCTCAATGGTTACACAGACTCCAGCATCTGTCTTTAAGGTAGGGGAGGTTGGCCTGGCACAAGAGAAGAATTTGAGAGTCAGAGGGCAAGGGCCTGCCTCACCAAGAAGGGGCAAGTGAGCTAGGTCTTTACTTCTGTGGGGTTTAAATTGGCTTAGATTGTTCCCCAGCCAAGTCATTTTGGGTAGAGCTATTTAGGGAGGATCCCACAGAAAATGTCAATAGATGTTGGCAGGTGACCCTGGAGGTTCAGGAAAGAAGGAGGGAGAGTGAGACGCATGGCAATAATGTTTAGAACGAGGTTAGGGGCAAATGGGAGCAAACTCCAGCTCCCAAGGCCGGTCAGGGCCAAAGGACCAGGTGGGGTGACACTGTTTCCCCTGGAGTGACATGCTGCTGCCACATCTATCACCAAGTTCCTAGGAGTTATGGTTACTCTGGATGTCCTCTGAAAAAGACCACATTTCTTCACTAAGGCTCAGTCTCCATCTAGAGGAGGACTTCCCCACCCCCATCAAAAAACAGTAGCACCCCCAGGACCCCCAGGACATCAGGGGACACTGACAGCATTCTTTTTTTTTTTTTTTTTTTCTACCCGGGAACAACCCCCCCCAACCTTAAAAAAAAAAAAAAAAAGAGAAAAAAACTTCCTAAGGTGAACTCACTCTCCTCCTGCCTCAGCCTCCCAAGTTGGTGGAGCACCACCGCTCCTGGTGGCATTCTTGAGTATGAGGGATTTGGCATGGGCTCAAGAGACAGGGCTGGGCAGGGCTCCCTGGTACATCCCCAAGAACTTCCCGTGCTGCCTGCTGCACTTGGGGACTGCTAGGGGACAGAGCCAGGCTCCAGGTGTGCAGCCGGTGGCTCTGGGCAGGGCCAACCTCTTGGTTACAGAGAAAGGTCCCAGTAGGGGAGAGAGACTTTGGAGGGGGAATTCACACAAGGGCTCAGGAGAAAACAGACTCTAGAATCTGTCTCCTGGCATGGGGGCGGGGGTGCAGTGTCCAGGAGCTGCACAGGAGCTGCCCTCCTTAAAGGGAACTGGACCTGAGATGGTAAGAACACTGAACCCACCTCCAGCATTTCTACGTCCTTGTAAGGTTCTTGAGTCAGGTCAGATGGTTGCAGGGCCCAGTGCAAGAAGTCTAGCACTAAACCAGACACCATTTGCCAAGTTGCGGTGACCTGTCATCCAGTGGGAAGAAACATGTAAACAAGTCCTTACAAAATACTGCACGAAGTGCCCCTGCTAGCCATAACCACAAGGGAATTATAGAGTCCTGGACAAGTCTCTCAAGCCTCTTATCCTCAGTTACCTCTCTGAAAAGGGGGTATAACCATAATGCCTGCATTAGGGAGCTACTGGAGGGTAAAGTGGGATGGGCCATTCAAAGTGCATAAGAGCAACACTCAATGCATCCTAAGTGCTATTCCATGGTAATAGTAACTAAGTGGCAGCTGGGAGTCTCCCTGGTGGGGAATGGGAAGCCATTGTAGGTTTTGTTGTTGATGCAGTGCTGGAATCAAACCCAGGGCCTTGTGCATGCTGGGCAAGTGCTCTGCCACTGAGCTACATGCCCTGCCCTTTTATTTAAAAAAATTTAAAAAAAAAAAACAGTTTCATTGAGATATGTCACATAACATACAATTCACCCATGTAAAGAGTGCAACTCAATGGTGTTTTTAAAAATATTTGTAACTGATACATAAAAACACAAAATTTGATATATTGGGGGGGTGCCATATACTATTTCAATACATGTATACTTTGTACAAACATGTATCATTTCTTTTTTTTTTTTTGGTGGAGGGTACTGGGGATTGAACTCAGGGGCAACTCCACCACTGAGCCACAGCCCTAGCCCTTTTTTGTATTTGGTTTAGAGACAGGGTCTCACTGAGTTGCTTAGAGCTTTGCTTTTACTAAGGCTGGCTTTGCACTCACAATCCTCCTGCCTCAGCCTCCCAAGCCACTGGGATTACAGGAATGCATTTATTTATGGTGGTAACTTTCAAAATCCTTTCTTCTAGCGTTTTGGAACATGCTGTGTTATGTTATCGAGAGTCACCCCACTGTACAGTAGCATCCCAGAGCATCTTGCTCTGAACTCTAACTTAGTACCCAGTGATCAGCCTTTTCCCATCCCTACCCACTGCTGTCCCCAGGCTCTTGTAATCACCATTCTACTCTCAGCTTCCGTGAGAGTGACATTTCTAGATTCTGCTCCTTGTCTCTCTGTGCCTGGCTATTTCACTTAACACAATGGCCTCCAATTCAAATGATGCAAATGACAGAATTTCATTGTTTTTCTTAGCTGAATAGTAATCGAGTGGTTTTTAATGTCCTCGAAGATTGTTACAACTTAGCCACAGTCAACTTTAGGATATCATCTCCTAAAGAAGCCCTTTCCGCTCCAGCTGTCTTCCTCCATCTTTCGAACCACCCAGCCCTAAGCCAACACTGATCTTGCTCTCTATAGATTGGCTGATTCCGGGTGCTTTGGGTCAATTGAATCCAAGAATATATGGCCTTTGTGACTGGCATTTTCCGCTTAGCACCATTGGGTCCTTGGGTGGACCCAATGTCCATTCTACAAACCTACACCAACACCGTCCCCTTTGAGCTTCCTCTCTGAGGTAGCATGCTCCACAGCAGGGTCTGGAGCTGAGGTATTGTGGCCAGATTTCCATTTTGCTGGATCTGCCTGGCATAGGGTGAGAGGAGGGGCTGAAGGAGGATGAGCCTGACACAGAGACGAAGAGGCCTGAACCAGGGTCAGGTGCAAGGGCAAAGGGAGCTTCTAGAAACTTTAAGAGTTGGCTACATTACCATTCATTCATTCATTCATTCAACTTGACTTGGAGGGCAGGTTGCTTGTTTCGAGGATACCTTGCCCCTGTCAATACTGGGCCTCTTTATGAACCAGGCACTGTGCTAGGCATTTTGGGAGTAGAAGGCAGATGTAAGTGGATGGCATTTGGGGGTATGGCAGAAGGGTACAAGAGTGTGACAGGGATTGGAGGCAGGCAGGGACTTGTTCCAGGAATTTAAATTTTATTCCCGTAGCTCTAAAGAATGGGTTTTAAGCCGAGGCAAGATGTGGTCAGTTCACATTTTAAAACCAACCCTCAACTGCATTGTGGAAATGGACTACCCGCAGGGAGACCCCATGTCCTAGCAGAGGTGATGAAGGTCTGATTTCAGCCATGGGGTCAGAAGGAAGGGCAGTGAGAGGAAAATGTTAGGAGGGAGTAGCCCTGTTTACCTCAGGCTGCTGACCATCCAATTCAAAACTCTCTGCGCCATCTTAGAGAGAGCTCTGAGGCCCACAGCACTTAAGGCAGAGGGAATTGGCCAGAAAAGGGTTAATAAAAGATTCCAGGAGGCAGGAGGAAAGCTAGAAAAGAGGGAGAGAGACCTAGAGCTCAGTGAATCTGAAGGAGGAGGTGGACAAAGGCTGTGGAGAGGCCAGGTTCAAAGAGGACAGGAATGTCTTCTGAGCTGGCCATTCATAGACCTCTGGAGAAACTCAGGGGTGCCCCTAGTGATGGAGAGGCCTGGACTAAAGGAGGGGTGGTGATTGATGGGGTGGGGTTCCTGAAGAGGAGAGGCCATGAGGGCCAAGACAGGCAGATATATCAAGAAAGGGAGGTGCTCATGCTCTGCAATCTCCATGTTACCAGGGACATGGAAGGCCAGGGGATTTGCTGAGAAATAGGGGCATGGTGGCAGAGGGAAGGTGACAGACAGGTCAGTGGCTAGAAAGCTTTGCTGAGGTTAGAGACGATGGATGGGGGTTGTCGTCAGCCTACAGGGTGGTGTGAGTTTCTCCAGATGTTGGTGTAGGTTTGTAGACATGGACATTAGGTCCACCCAAGGATAGAGATAGCAGAGTGGCCATGAAAGCAGGACCAAGTGGCACAGGTGAAGGAGGTAAGAGTAACTGAGATGACATGGCAGAAACAGGGCTGAACAGGGAGCCAGTGAGGCCAGGAAGGTGGTGATAGCTGGACACCAACCTCATGAGACAGCACGCTCTGCAGATGTTAACAAGCTCAAGAGAGGCTATGGGGGGTGTGGGTCTCCTTCCATCCCTGGGGTCAAGGACTTGATCCTGCATTTGGGTAACCAGTGGAGGAACTTCATCTGAGGTTGATGGTCTGGTTAATTGTGCACATTTAACAGATGAGGCAGCTGAGCTGTGCAGAGCTGGGCTCATGGTCACACAGCTGGGACAAGGCTCATCAGATGTATGCTGAATTTATTATTCTCTTAAGGCCTCACCTTGCATCTGACTCTGGCGACAGGGATGGTGTGAAACCCTTCGGAAAGCCAAACCTCTCAGCCATTTGTTCAGGGAAAGGAAAATCCCACTTCTTTCTTTCTTCATGCCCCCCCTCCAACTCTCCCTCCATCCTCACTAAATCCAGCAG